TTTCTCTTAGTGTCATGGGAGGAAGGAAAGCAGTTGAAAATCAGAATGGATTCTATGTAGATAGCAGAGTAAAGTAGATTTTAGTAAAAAGATTCGGAGATTTTTATCCTATGTGGATTTTGCCTGCTGTGCAGTGAATGCTTGTGTTTCCCCAAATTCATTTGTCGAAGCCCAAAATGTGATGGTACTTGGAGGTGGGATCTTTGAGAGGTAATGAGGTCATGTAGGTGGAGCCTCCATGATGGGACTAGTGTCCTTACAAGAAGAGAGCTGGCCCTCTGTCTCCCTCTGCCATGTGAGACTCAACGAGAAGAGGGCTGTCTGCAAATCAGGAGAGGACCTCCGTCAGCACTCAACCATCCTGCTACCTTGATCTTAAACTCTGAGCCTCCATAACTAAGAAATAAACTACTGTTGTTTATACCACCCAGTCTGTGCTACTTTGATATAGCAGCCAGAACTGATGAAGACACCCCTTATTTTCAGAAAGGCAAGTAAAGGATTTTGAGTGTTTGGGGTATGTTTCTTAGTTATGAAACTGTGCTTTTGATATGTGATACTACTCTGACACTGCATTCCTAGGGGAGCTCATTCATAGGGACATATATTCCCTGGGTCCCTTTATTAACTCACCTTAGGTGAAAGCCCAAAGCCCGAAGGGCTCACACTCTGGCTCTGCCATTTACTAGAGGAGTGATTTTAGAAAAGTTATTCATTCTCTTCAAGCTGACCTCATAAGAAAGAGATTATTTAAACATGTTGCCTGAAACAGACTAGGCACATCATAAATACTCATTACCAACTTCCCTTCCTCCAGTAACACCCAAGAGAGGCACAGTGATATAAATGCTCCCATTCGAAAGAATCTGAAGTGGATCTGTGGAAAACTGAGAATCAAACTTGCATCTCAGAGCTTCCAATTAAGTTTTATTGTTTTGTCATTTTGTGTTTTGGTGTTTTTAATCTGACAAGAAATAGTTTGCAAACTGAGATAACAAGGCGAAGCAAAGGCAAGGTCTGATGAACTAAGCACAAAACAATTCGACAGTTCTGCCATGTCCCTGTTTATTATTGATTTTCTGAGTAGCAAGAGAGTTACAACTTTGTTTTTCTCCTTTCTGAAACTGGACCTTTGAAAACACCTCAGTGATAACTGTAAAAAGATTAACTAAAGAATAATGATTAAAAAAATGTGTTTGGGGCATGATGCATTTTATAATTCAGGGTAGGGATGGGCATTCACGGGCCCTTTTGAGACAGATTGCGGCCTGCAAGGAGTTAAAGATGTTGAGACTAATATGATCATGGGAAAGACTCTACCTTGTGCACCTGGCCCATCTACAGGTGAGGGTGCTCACAGGGGAAAGCAGCGCAGGACCTGTCACTATGGCGTAGTTAATAGAACAGGAAGTCAAGCTCTCCTTGGAATATGGCCCCAGTTCAAAGGCTGCTGGACCGGCACTGACTCTGATACTGTAGCGAGTCCAGAGAATGACTACTAGAGTTTGAGGAAAGAATAAAATTGATTTCGGTGGATTCTTTTGGAAGTTAAATAACTTATGATATCACAGCCTTGTCGCACTCTCTGATTATTTCTGTATTAGAGTGTGACTTTAGACAAAACACCTTCCATCTCTGGGACCCAGATTCCTCATCTGTAGAAAGAAGAGGTTGGGTTAGAGCCATTGAGTGGAAGCCATTCTTCCAGTTCCCAGACCGTCTCACAGAGAAGAATAATATCAATAGAAAGTTCTCCTCCTGTGTAGAGAAGAGGTTTTAGGATTTGCACGGAACAGGATTTTAAAAGGGAAGTTGTTGTTTCATATTGTTTTAGTTTATGTAAATGCCAGTTCTAAAAACCTGAAATTAACTGTAATATGTACAAATCTTGTCCCAGAGCTACTGTTATTAATCCACAAAGTCAAACATTAACAGTATAGGAAAAGACAAAGGACATCAATTTAAGGTAAATTACAGCTGAATATATATAAGATCATACTTTATATCTTTCTAAATACCAAGCGAATTTGCTGATATTTGTGATAATATAAGAAAACCACAGTATTAAGGATTTGCCATTCATTGTAACATTTTGCTAAAAACCATTCATATGTCTCCACACTAGGATTCAGTATTAAATATTTATTCAAAAAAGATTCCCGTAGACTTGGTCTATGGTAATCTTTTTGAGAAGTTTTGAAGATGAAGGCAATAAAAGATATTCTTACTTCTAATAATTGTCCATGACAAGTCATTATTGCTCTTATAGATATAATGCATAATACAATTTAAAGAAACATCTGTCATGATTATCTGAAATTACATCAAAAAACAATATTCTAAAAACGGGAAGAGCTTTTTGTACACCTTTATTACTTCTCCTAATAACACGTCTACTGGTTAATTTGGGATAAACAAAAGGCGTAAGCAGATAATTTATAAGTGAGAAAATGGAACCTTCGGAAAAAATTTCAAAATCACTGATAATGATCCAATACTATTTTTCAACTATCCAAACCAAATGATAATGACTTTAAATGTAATTTGTATTAAAAGAGATGAGAGAAAAGGACTTTCAAGAGTGGAGACCATCTCAGTTATCTGGAAGGTAGAGAGATGTGTGTGCTGAGCAGCCTCCCTCGGCCCCTCCAGATCCAGGTTCTACCCTTTTCCATTCTGCTCTGTGTCCTGGGAGGCTGACCCCAACAGAATGCCTCACTGGGGCCCCCTTGCCTCTGCTTCCAGTCACCCCAGCCAATGGGAGACACTAGGCGATGAGTGGGCAGGGCTTGTGTCTCCCTCCAGAGTGAACCCTCACCGCTCTTAGTGGGCAGCCCTTTTCTCAGCTACAAGTCTTGCTAGGTTTTACGAGTCCAGCTGCTGTCCTTAGCTCTGGAATGCTCCGTCTCTATTGGCTTCCCTTCCCTTGGTCACACCTTATAAATTATTCCTGCAATAAATCTTTTCCAATCATCCCTTCTGACTTTGCCATCTACCTCCTGCCAGGACCCTGAAATATGTGGCACATCTCCACGTCCACTCAGGACCTTAACCAAGTGAGCACATTTCTCATCGCAATCAATTCCTCTCCTCTTCCTTCTCTAGTGAACATCTGTTGCTTTTCCCTCCCCAGAATCCTGTTAGTCTTTTCCTTGTATAGCAGCCTAATTTTCCATGAGAGAAACCCTTCTCCTCATCTCTGAGTGCACATGGCTTGGATGAGGCTGATATCAGCCCCAACCCGGGGCTGAACATATGATCTTAGTACAATTAGACTTAATCTTAGGACTTCTTTTGAAACTATGGGGGCAAAGAGACCTCTATTAACGGAAACAGCTGGCTGTGAGGAGAAATATAAGCCTGGAAAAGTCGGGTTAAGGAAGAGGGCTTGCCTGAGTATAAACCGACAGAGTGGGCACCGTACAAAAAGATGAAGAGGCAGGCTCAAATATTGTTATTTGAACCCTCAGATGCCACCCTGCCTGAAGCTTAGCCTTGGACATTGTAGTTATCAGAAACTGTACATTCTCTTTTTTGTTCAGGCTGAACTGAGCAGCGCTTTCTGTCACTTGCAAATGGAAGATCCCTTACTAATAGGCCTTCTCCCAATAAAAACATATTTGGAGAGAGTAATAATTAGAGATGTTAAAGACTATGACTTCTAAAATGATATCATCCAGATTTGCAGTGCTGTCTTCATCAAAAACCCTGACACATAAGGTTATAAGAGGCACCTGTGGTTCGTGTTTATTATGATTTTGGAGCTACCACTACCTAGTGAATCAGCACATAGGCATTGCTCAAAGAAATTCTTGCTGATATTATTATTGCTATTATTTATAAATGTATAAATGTAGTCCTTTGAAGTCTGTGAGAGATGGGACAGTACCAAACCAAACAGCTCACTTTGTGTTGAACTTTGTGGCTGAGCCCCATGTATGAACTGGTACGAACAAAGAACAGTGGTGGAAAACAGCCAAAAGCTATGTTCAAGCATTATTTTCAAGTGCCATTTGACTGGGCCTTCTCAGGTGACATGGTTCACTGGCAGGAATACTGTTACTGTGATGATTATTATTCCCATTTACCACCTATTAGAATGTGAGTCACTGAGAGGTCAGACTGTCCCTAAAGCCCAGTGTTCCTGAGCACTCAAGGTCAAGTTCAAGGGACAGCAATCAGGTGTAGGGACAATGGCAAAAACTCAATCCTTTGAAATGAAGAGAAAGGTTAACTCCCAGGAGATCACTGCAAAGTGCGTTTTACTATCTTCAACGTATCACGTAGCTTGGGAAAAGAAATCAGAGTGACAGTACTAACATGACCCCAGGCCCTTGCCACAGCGGCTGTCCTCCCTGAGAACACAGACTAAGTCTTTGTTCATATTTATACACCCCTCCCCACTCCAGCCTAGCACCATGCCTTGTACAAAATAGGTGCTCATCAATGACATTCAGGGTCTGCCAGCTTAAGAATAAGATAAAATATAAGACGATATACGAAAAGAATCAGCACATAGGCATCGCTCAAAGAAATTCTTGCTGATATTATTATTGCTCTTATTTATAAATGTATCTGCATTATTGATAAGCAGGTTCATCATAACCCACACAAATCCTTTTAAGCAACAATTTCAACCTCTTTACCTCCCAAGGCATCAGCTCTGTTGTGAGTTTGAGTTAGTATTCCTAACCTTCATATGTCGATGTGAGAATAAATGTCCATCCACTCACTCACTCATTCATCCATTCAACAAATAATTAGTGACCACCTGCTATTTGCCACATATTGGAATATACGTGAGGGAATCGAAGTTGATTAAGAAACAGCCCCTGTAAAATGCAAAGGCAAATCTGTTGGAGACGGACAAGAAATCCAAATAGACAGACTGTGAATGAGGGAATCAACCTATGGAATGAGAAAACTGACGTCAGTGGATGCCACCAGTGCTGGTGAAACCCTGGGCAAAATGACTATGACATGGGGAACATTTTCCTTACCTTTTCTGCAAGCCAGCCAAGATGTCTGATCTCTCGGCTCCCAGCAATGCCTGTTTGCCCCAGCTGCTCTCTGACCTCGGCGATCACTTGGGACAGCAGGTCACTGACGTTGGAATGGATAGCACTGAACCAGGCCTGGGCAGTGGCTGAGTCCTTGCTCCTAAGGATCACTGTGTGCTTAGCATCTGGAGAGTGGACTTCGAGCTGCCTGGAGAAGCAGAGAGAAGGGTGAGAACACTCCCTGGCCGATCCTGCTTCCTCAAGTCCCGGAACACAAAGGTGAACGAATTCTTTACTCTTATTTTTAGACTTTGTCAGTTTCGCATGGTTTACCTTAATGGTCTTGTCATGCACTCACTCATTCATTCATCCACAAATATTTATTGAGGGCCCAGACACTGGCCTAGGTACTGGGGGCATAGATATTCAATCACCGTGTCACTTGAATTAAGAATGTTTGGTTTTCCTGTTATTGAGCTGACTGGCTTATTTGTGGTATCGTATCAGGACTTCGAAACTGTGAACTGATATTAACTTTTACCTCTCAATCCACAGAGTATTTTAATAATATACTTATATCCTTACTGCTGCTGGCAAGAAGGAGATCAAAATATCTAGCCACATGCTTAATCCTATTGCTCATTGTTAATTGTGAATATTTTTGAATCAAAGATGGCCAGACTCTGCCTTCTTTAGGAACCCTGACTGTGGCACATTTTCTTACCACTTATCCTTGGACATCTGTAGTGAAGGAGCGAAACGGCCTAGAAAGGGTTAATGATGAGGAGACACAGGCACTGCGAGTGTTATGTTTAAAGCCAGCACCAAAACTTATGCCAGAGCTCCAACTGGACCATCAGGAATAGTGAAGGATCTGAATACTTTAACTGAGGTAAAAAGAGGAAATTCTAGACAAATATATTTTTTACTTTAAAATTTTATTTCGAAGGACTTACAGGTTAACGCCACTTTGCAAAAATAGTACAGTGGTCTGTGGATACCTTTCACTCAGTTTCCCTCGATGATGGTTAGATTTTACGTAACTATAATGCAATATGAAAACCAGGGAACTGACATTGGCGCAGTGTAACTGTATCGTTCTATGCCGTTGCACCACGTGTAGACGCTAGATGCATGTAACTGCCATTGCAGTCAGGGTACAGAACTGTTCCATCACCACGATGCTCTCCCTCTCTCTAGCATTCATAGTCACGAGTGCTCCTCTCCTGATCGCCATCCCAAATCCCTGGCAACCATTAACCTGTTCTACACATCTGTAATTTTTTAGACAAATAATTTTTATTGTGGACAGAAAAAAATACATTTTATTCATTCATGTATACATGCCAGTAAATGCTAATTTATTCATTCATGTTTGCATGAGAAAGATATAGGGATGGGGAAATTCAACGCTGAATAAAATGATCCATTTATTAATTTCCTTTCATCTCTTAATAATTATGCTACCTTTCATTGAGTATTTACTATCTGCCTGGTAAAATGTTAAATCATCTTTAGGTTATTTTATATAATTTTCCTAACAGCCCTCTGACTGATATATTAATTCCATTTAACAAAAGGAAAAACTGAAATTTGGAGGGAGGCAAAGAGAAGTAATTCATGACAGGCCACACAGTTGGCGATACTGGGATTCAAACCCATGTTGGTTAGGCTCAAAAGCCCATGAATTAAATATTGTATTATGATGTCTCTCCTTAGACTGGACAGCTTCCAGCAGGAGAGCGCCATTGTCTTCTACAGCTGTTTAAAGTCATTGTCACCAGCAAACATGCCCCAAAGTGTCCTACTTCACTCCCGTGTTTCAAAACAACAATTCTGCAGATCACCTGAAAACCAGAAATCCCAAGTAATCTAGCTTCATTTACATTTGAAACCAACTTTTCAGAGTGAGTGAAACTTCTTACCCATAAACTTAAACTGTAGAAAAGGAATGATGTAGAAAGTGGAATGTATCTAGTGGAGTTTAAGCAATAATTAGCATCTTTTTATAAGAAATTTGCAAAACAAGCCTTCTCATGGAGACTCCAAAGGTTTTATGTGATGAGACAGGGAATTCGTTAGGTGACATTTGTCCTCATACAGAAGAAAAAAATCTCGGGCTTCTTGGGCACCTCTCAAAGAAATCGGCGGTCAGCCTGGGGCGAGCTGGCCTTCCCTCCCGAAGTTCTTGCTCTTCAGTAAAGGTGCACAGCCAGAGACAGACCAGCATTCTCAGAAAGCATTAATGAGCTCGACTTGCTTTTCAAAGTTCCTACCGATGTCTATTGTTCTAGGAATTTAAAACAGGTGAATATTTCTTTTATAATATTTTCTTTTGAAGATCTGGATTTGTTTTTAAAGAAGTGACAGCTTGGGAAGCAGCCACTCCCCAGGTATCTCTCTCTCACACACACACACACACACACGCGCACACACACACAATGCCAACAAAAAAGAAAGGAAGAATATTTCCTTTGTTGGGTTGCCAGCACATCCCCAGGGGAAAGCTGACTTGTAAACAGAGGTACAGGCTAGTGACGGGGAGGCCCATTTTCCCCAGGTTTTAGACAGTATTTATCATTATTAATTTCTAAATAAAATTTTAAGTATAACATATAGCGAGAAAAGTGCACAAATTGTAGCGTGCAGCTCAAAAGTATTTTCGCAAAGGGAACACATTCGTGTAACCACTGCTCAGATCAAGAAGCAGAGTATTACACACATCCCAAGGGACCCCTTTCACAGTCCCTTTCCAGTTATTATCCCCCAAAATAACCACTAGTAGGATTTCTCACCATGGATTACTTTTGACTCAGGCAAAAAGGATGAGGTTTTGTTTGTTTGTTTCTATTTGTTGTCGTTGCCTGCAGTATAGGAACGATCTTGGAATATTTCTGAGGCCCAAGGCTTCTTAGTGGTGGTTCTCTTGGTGCAGCCACAGATCAGCAGCATCACCTGAGAACTTCTGAGAAATGCAAATTCTTGGTCCCCACCCTGGACCCACTGAATTACAGGTGAGGCCCAGCAATCACCCTCCAGGTAAATCTGATGCAGTTTAAGTCAGAGAAAGGATACTCTCCAAGTTCATAAGGACAAGCGCTGAGCTTGGTTGTTCGCCAGGGCTCCCAGCGGCTGAGGGGGACACGCTGAAAGGTGAACTGACCTGCCCCAGTCGGTCTCAAAGAAAGAACACATTGGACACAAAATAGAGAGGCCTGTGCTTTTTAGAGACAAAAAAAAAAAAAAAAGAAGAAGAAGAAGAAGCAGGCATTCTCATTCAAAAGTATTCCTTGGAAACCTGTAAACTTTTTTTTTTTTTTAATCATTTAAGTAAACACGGAACCTGGGGCCCCATCCCAGACCTGTTGAGTAAGAGTTTCTAGAGGCCGAGGCCTGAGCATATGCTTTAAATGTTCCACAAATTACATAGGTTTAGCATCATGGCAGGCCTCTTCAAGGCCAAGCTGAAACACCCCTAAAGAGATATGCTTATAGCTGATCGTCTCCAGGAGGGCAACACACAGAGGGCTTCTGAAGAGTGTATTAATAATCTACTGTTGAGTAACAAATTCCCCTGGAATCAAGTGGCTTTAAACTTCAAACACTTGTTACTTCATGGCATCTGTGCATTATTGAATTTGGGAGTGGCTTAGTCGAGTGGTTCTGGCTTGGGGGCTTCCTGTTGCAACAGTGATCCTGATTGGGCTGAGGATCACTTCTCAGATGGGGCACTCACATGATTGTTGTCATACGGGCCTCTCCAGGGGCCGCTTGAGTGCCTTCATGACATGGCAGCTGGTTTCCCCCCCAGAAAGCAAGAAGGAACTACAATCGCTTTTATGACCTGGTCTCCAAAGTCAAATACCATCACTTCTCGCTCATTTTTCTTGTGAGAAGTGAGTCACTAAGTCCAATGCACACTCATGAGAAGGAGAAGTGGGCTTCACCTCTTAAAAGAAGAGAATCAAAGAATCTGGGAACATATCCTGAAACCACCACAGAGAGGCTCTGGATGAAGTAAAGCTCTGGAGAGTCTGTCCCAAATGTAAAAGGAGACTGTTGGGGCTGAGAACCAGCAGCCTCTAAAGAGCTTATAGAGTTGGATGAAGGAGAAGACCATTCTTTCCGACTGAGCTGCAACTCCAGGTTATAAAGTCAGAGAAACTGTGCACTCAAGATAGGGGTCAGTGACACCAGGAGGGATGAGAAAGTGCCTCTCCTTAACAGCATATAGGAGTAGCATGAAACCATGAAAAATGATGGGGGTTAAAAATTGCTGGCTGGTCTGGCACAGAAGAGATTATTTGTACAATGAATAAATGAAAGCATTCAGTAATCTACATTCACTTCTCCCTCACCCCTAAAGAACTCAAAGGGGAAGGACAAAAAGGGATATAGACTTCCCTTTCAATACCAAATGAGCTCCACTATCTAAAGCAAACAGTAAGTAGCTGGTGGTACTAAAGTCCCCAGAACCTCTGAGTGACGACTGAAGATTGTAAACAAGGTCAAGGGGGTGGTTTTTACATTTATTACTTAGCACATCACCTAGCACAAACCTCAGATACACACACGTTAGCCTCATTTGTCATTTAATCCCATCTTACCAAAATATGATGCAGTGCAACAAACTTTTTAGAGGATTAGCAACAGAGAAAGAAATTCCATTTCTGGAATGGCTGTGTCGTGGTTCTTCCAGCAGCCCATTATCTCACCAATTCAAAGCATGTGTGCCAGGAAGTACTTGTTAAGCACATGGATTTTTTTTTTTTTAAATTAAATCTGGCTCTAAGATTGGTTGGCTATGAGGCCTTAGGGAAGTTACTTGACCTCCCTAAGCTTCTCTCTCCTTATCTGTAAAATGGCTCAATACACTCGCCTCTCAAGATTACTGGAAAGACTGCATGAGATGATACATGCATGAGATGTCATAGTGTCAAGCTGATCTTGATCAGTTCTAGTTTAAGTTCTAGTTTCCAATGAATAATCTTCTCAAACTCGTGTACAATGAAATGGCTGTGGTCCAGTGAGGTAGGGAGAGTCTTCCAGGGTGTGCTTTGGTCCACTTCTTTTTCAGAGTCTTTGAACTTGGAGGAAAATGCAAGCCCCAGGAAAATTAAAAACGTGACACAAGGACTATTTCTAACATCTTGGAAAGGAAAAAATAACTTTGGGGAGAGATGCTTGAGTCTTTTGTGAGACAGTGAA